TCGGCAGGCGGACTCTCAACCACTGCGCCACCAGGGAAGCCCTGACTGTACCTTTACCTCATTCCCTGGACCTCAGTCCACTCTTCACCACTCTGTGGCCGCAGCCCCGAGCCTTTGGGTGTCTGTCTCCAAGTCCAATTAATCGAGCAAACTGTGACCACCAGTCGAGGGGCCGGTTGGTTCTTATTCACATCTTCCCACTCCCCAAACCCCGCCCCGCCCGGTGAGTTATCACAACTATCCCAGCTATCCCAGAACACAGGGTAGAAGGAAGTATGGCTTTGGATTATAGATTGTGTAGAGTACCTTTTTGTGTTCTATATTATGGCTTTGTGTTTATATATTTGTGTTTATATAGGTATATGTTATTTCGGTAGGTATATATACATATGCCAATCCCGTCTCTCAAACCGGGTCCTAGTCTCATTAGGACAAAGGGGCCGTGCTTTATGCTTCTTCGTAATCATCAGTGGCGCCAAGGACAGTTGAGGGCAGTACTGTGACTTCAGAAAATTCCTTAGTGGAGCAGCTTCTGAGCACATAGTTTAAGGGCTACTCACTCTCAGCGCAGGTGCCCTTCCCTTTCGTCTCCCGCCTCCCCACTCCCCACTCTGGGATCCTCTGGAGCTTCATTAAAACACTTCCCATTATCCTCCGAGCCACCACAAACCTGTTTTACCACTTTGTCACCCTGCAGCAGCATTGAAAATTCTTGTTGCTTGGTAAGCTGACGCTGAAACCCCTAAGACAAGCCTCCTTTCTTTCCCCTTCCCTCGCCCGCCCGTTTGATATGGGGCCCAGATAAGACTGCATCGCTTGCTCTGGCTACCCACACTCCTGGCCGGAAGCCGGCCCCGTGTTCACTGTGGAAAAAGTGAAACCATTCTGCTTTAATGGGCACCTTGGTAGAGAGGGTTAGGGATGTCGCCGCAAGGGACAGATGGCCTAGGTTCAAATCTCAGTTCCCTGGGAACGTGGAAAAGTGGCTTAACCCCTCTGAGCTCCTGTTTCTTTATCTGAAAAATAAGTTGTTGTAAACACTGAATTGGAAAATCCACATCGAGCGCGTGACTGTGCCTGGCACATAGGGAGAGCCCAGTGAGCGGAAAAGGGTGGTGACCTCTAGCTAGTTGCCTGCTTGCGCTTGGGAAGGAACTCAGATGAACTCTGCATCCTCCCTGGGCTTGAGGCTGCGCTGGGTATGTGCTTGTGTACCAGTCTCCTCGTCTCTACTCCCTTTAAGAGCAGTTTTTTATTCTGCCTCACTGATGGGGCTGAAAATAGACCCGCGAGACCCCCTAGCTTGTGAGCGTCAGAGCTTGGTTTGGAACCCGGGACTCTTGGATTTTGAAGCTCGTGTGTTAATACCTCCCTTCCTGGTATCATCCCAGATAACCCCCTCCCCAGACCCAGAAAACATCAGGCCCCTTACCCTCTCGCTTGGGACCCTTTTCAGTGTCTAGTGGGGGATGACCCAGTCACTTCGTGGCCTCCTCTCTTTTCAGAACCTGGGGAAAGCTGAATCTCATCCCTTTGTTCACTTCATGGTCAGCAAACTCAGTTTTAAAAAGCAAAAAGGTTGCTGAGGATTGAAGCATACCTCATAGAGGAGCCTGGAAAGAAAAATCAAGCCCAAAGCTTGGGATTTGGCCCTGTCAGCTGCCCTGAGCCCTCGTCAACAGGGAAGTCTAGGCCCACCAGCCCCGTGGGAGGAGGAGGGCAGGACAGCATCTTTCTGCATGTCCCCAGGGCCACCCTGCCCAGGTGAGGGTTGTCTGGACAAGTCCAAGAGGAGCCGGCCACCGTCAAAGCCTTCGCCTTGCGTCTCTGTGGCTGCCCTGTGGCTGCCGGGTGTGTGAATCTCTCAAGTGCTGCGAGAAAGGACAGCTGTGTAATTTGGAAATCCTAAAACACACCCTCTCCTTCCCACCAACCACGCAACTTTTCTTTCCCTTAAAAAAAGAAAAAAAAAGATTCATTCACTGAGTGCATAACGGTAACCCTTTGTTCTCCCCCCCCCCCCCCCCCCCCGGCCCCCACTACCTCAAATATAGCCTCCACAAAGCTACAAGAGTGATCTACCTATAATTCCCCTGCCTAAAACCCCATAGGATAAAGGCCAAGCTCCTTATTATGGTATATAAGACTCTCCATTACCCAACCTATGTCCTCCTCTCCAATTTCATCTCCTACTACTCTCCACCTGAGAATCTTGAGTCATTATATATCCCTAATACCTGTTATATCACTTGGCATACTAGAGGTGTCAATATGTCAAAAAATATTAATTGAACCAAAGTAGATCTACTAGAACTATTTAGACCAAATTCCAAGCCTGGGTTGCTAAGGCCACTGAGAGCCATCAGGTAGAAGGTGCCTGAGGATCCTGAAGCCCGGCAGACAGACCGCGTCTGTCCCCTCCTGAGGATTCAAAGCCACCTCCCCCAGTTGGCAGAGGACAGCCACGCACAGACCCTTCCCCAGAGCCCCCAGCCCTGTTCAAGCAAACCGCGTCTCCCCTGCACCCCTTTCCCATTTGGGGCAGGGCCACCTCGGGTCCCAGACACTCGGCTCTGCTGGGTAAAAGCTCCCTGTAGACTAATTTTTCAAACTAAATCTGAGACCAGTCTTAGCTGACCGGGCAGGCTTGCCCAGGCCCAAGTCCTCGAAAGGAACAGACAGGCTATTTTTAGTGGGAAGACATAACTGGGGCTTTGTCTTCCCGGCACGGAGGAGGCTGAAATAACGGAAGGGGGAGGGCAGAGCTGAGACCGCATGTTCCCCCCACCCCCTACCAACCCACTCCCCTGCTCGCAGGCCGCGACAATGAGGGCAGGATGGCAACCTGTGATTCCCCAGTCAGGTTATTTTTAGCCCAGGACACTTTGGCCTCTAGCAGGAAACCAGAAAGGAATGCCTATGAGTGGTTTCTCATCCTGAAATAATGGGTTTGTGGTGTTCCCGTGGACTGTAAAACTTCCTTCTCTTCCCCGGGACCTGAAACCTTGGCCCTGGCCTTTGATGAGAGCGTGAAGCACTTACATTTTCTCTCTGCCCTTCAGAACCTTTTCCACAGCACAGCCCTCCTTCCCCAGAGGGCTGGGCTCCCCACCACCTCTGATTTGTCTGACCTTCAGCAGACGACACCGTTACCCTTCGCTTTTTTACTCCCATCGTCCCCCATCAGAACGAACCTGTGTGTAGGGCCTGGATCAGCTGGGAAGCTCCCAAGGATGGAAGTATTCTAACTCCTCACATTTGCCTGGTACTCCCTAGTTCCCCACCTGATGTTCCATCCTTATCCCATTTGACATTTCCTCACAGCTCCGTGAACATGGGCCGGGCAAGATGACATTATCCAGGTTTTCTCAGGGGAGGAAACTGGGGCTCCATGGGCATGAGGGCCATGCCCAAGGTCACACCACTAAGTGGTAGGGCTGGAAGTTCTGCATCCTTCTAACCTTTCCTTCCCTGTGGCCATTAACGAGAGGAGCAAAGTCATCCCTGCTGTTCTCACCAGGGATGACTTTGCTCCTCTCCCCCCAAGAGACATGAGGTAAAGGATGGAGACATTTTTGGTTGTCACACCTCAAGGTCAGGATGCTGCTAGCATCTAGTGGGCAGACACCAGGGGTGCTACCGAACAGCCTACAATGCGCAGGACTGCCCTACAACAAAGAAGAGTCTAGCGCCAAGAATCCTGAGGTCGAGAGAGCCAGATTAAAGGACATGAAAAGATGTTCAACATTGCAAATCATCGGGAAATGCAAATCAAAGACCACAATGAGCTATTACCTCACACCTGTCAGAATGGCTCTCATCAAAAAGAACACCAATAACAAATGTTGGTGAGGATGTGGAGAAAAGGGAACCCCTCCTACACTGTTGGTAGGAATGTAAATTGGTGCAGCCACTGTAGAAAACAGTATGGAGATTTCTCAAAAAACTAAAAACAGAGCTACCATATGACTCAGCAATTCCACTCCTGGGTATATATCCAAAAAACACTAATTCAAAAAGATACATGTACCCCAACGTTCATAGCAGCATTACTTACAATTGTTAAGGTGTGGAAGCAACCTAAGTGTCCGTCAACAGATGAATGGATAAAGAACATGTGGTATATGTATACAATGGAATACTACTCAGCCATGAAAAAGAATGGAATTTTGCCATTTGCAGCAACATGGATGGACTTGGATGGCATTATCCTAAGTGAAATAAGTCAGACAGAGAAAGACAAATACTGTATGATATCACTTATATGTGGAATATAAAAAATACAACAAACTAGTGAATAAAACAAAAAGAAGCAGACTCACAGGTATAGAGAACAAACTAGTGGTTACCAGTGGGGAGAGGGGAGGGGGGGAGGGGCAGTATAGAGGTAGGGAGATGAAATCATGTGGGTGAAACTTTTGAAAATTGTAAGATACTATAGAATTTAAAGAATCTTTCATTCAATAAATAAAGTAAAATAAAACAAAATAACGCTAAGGGGGAGGAAAAAGACTGTTCCATGCCAGATACTAAAACTACACAAACGTATTCAAGCCTGTCGGATCAAGTCTAGGACATTACCACATAAATTATTAGCACAACATACTGAGTGCAGTGTCACAGCTATGCACAACGTGTTAATGAGAACACCTAGCCCAGCCTTGGAGGACTCAAGGATGTAATCAGGGAAGGCTTCCTGTAAGAGTTGACTTCAAGAATGGTGTTGCTTCTGCAGTCCCACACTATGGGACATTTGCAATTTGACAGGGACCTTCTGTGCCTTATCCAATAGTCAGGACCTGGGGAAGAAGGGTATGCAGGGAAGAGAGGAGACTTCTTCCAGGACTGAAGCACTATGGTCTATGCTTTTCTTGTGGGGAAACCCCATCCCTCGCCCTGTCTCTGTCTGACCTTTCCTGTTGACTGTCTCCTAGAATCGATAAGAAAATGTCTGATGCTCAGGGCAGCTACAAACTGGACGAAGCGCAGGCTGTCCTGAGAGAGACAAAAGCCATCAAAAAGGCCATCACCTGTGGAGAAAAGGAAAAGCAAGATCTCATTAAGGTATGAGAGTTCCCAGTGATGTGGGCCCCATCCCAGTTTCTCCTGAGCACCTTCCTGGGCCAGGGCTCATGTGGGCTATTTCCACATGCTGCAAGATCTGTGAGTTCTCCTCACTAGTTCTCTTGGGCTTTTAGTCTCATTTTACAGAGGAGGAAATAGAGGTTCAGAAGCATGAAGTGACTTGCCTAAGGTCACACAGCTAGTGTCAATGGCAGAGCTGGAACAGGAGCCCTCTGGTCTAGTCTAAAGGCCACCTCCTTGCCACTAGCTTTAGCCATCTGGCTTATTTTGCACAGAACCAAATGGAGGGAGGTGGTTTCAACATTACCTCGACATCAAAATGTAGCATCTTTATAAGCATTTCATTTCATGTTCCAGCTCTGTGCTGGGAAGTGACAAATGATGACAGATACGATTTAATATCTCAGGCAGTAGTGCCAAGCACTTTGCAAGCACTGTGCCTCACTTATCCCTTACATCAGTGCTAGGTTATCTCCATCATACAGCAAAAGACTGCACAGATCAGAGAGTAAGCGGTAGAGCCAAGATTCAAACCCATGGACTCCTGACTCAGAAGCCCATTCTCTTAACCCCTGTACATCCCACCTACCCTCAAAGGAACTGCCTCCTTGACCTCTGAGATATTCTATTTTCGTTCCCATCAGCAGATGAGAAGTCAAGCTCAGAGACACTGTAAATGACTTGGTGAAGGAAGCTTTGCACTCTGTGAGAAACAGAATAATTTCATAGCTCCTGCCCAGGACTGCAGCCCAGTGACAAGACATTAGCAGACAGTGAGGCATGTTCCGATCGTGTTTAGCAGTTAAGAGTACCAAGCCGGATAGACCAAAACCAAATCCTGGTTCTGTCAATTGCCAGCTTCTCCCTGTAACAACTCCCTCGTGGATAAAATGGGGGACAATCATAGGTTACTCCTCGCAGGACCGTGGTTAGGATTAAGTCAGATCATGGTAGAGCTGACAGTTATTGAGTATTGACTGAACTAGTGGTTTACACTGGTCATCTCGTTTAATCAATATGATAGCCCTGTGAGTTAGGACCCGTGATTATTCCCATTTTGCAGGAGAGGAAACTGAGGCACAGAGAGCTTCATCAACAAGCTCAGACCACACAGCCAGGAAGTGGCAGAGCAGGAGTTCCAGCTCAGTCCGTGTGTCTCCAGGGCCAGTGTCCACACTGGTTGACCCCATGTAAAGGGCCTGGCCCAGTGCTTGGCACCTACTCACTCGTAGCTCTTTACAGGCTAAGTGGGATGTCTAGGGGGAGCATGGGTTCCTAGTAGATTCATAGAGAGTGACAGGTCCAGAGCTCCCTCCCAGGAGGGTGCGTCGCCAACCCTGTCCTCCGTTCCAGAGCCTCGCCATGCTGAAGGACGGCTTCCACACCGACAGAGGGTCTCACTCTGACCTGTGGTCCAGCAGCAGCTCTCTGGAGAGTTCAGGTTTCCCGCTGCCGAAACAGTACCTGGATGTGAGCTCCCAGACGGACATCTCAGGAAGTGTGAGTAGACGGCACGTGCTGCTGCAGGCCCCCAAGGGACAGAGTGCCCTTCTTGTTACGCACCTGAGGAGCTGGCTGGTGACTATCTATGGGCCTGGCTGCTAACTCAGCCTTCGGGAGCTCCGTTCTCTTGCAGACCTCCTGGCCCCTGGATGACATGAGATGATGACGTGGAGAAAAAGCCAGCACTGACTCCCTGGCCACGTGAATGCATCTCTAGATGCTGCACAGAAAGTATGTTTGAAGGACCAGGCGTCTTTCTCTGGTTTCCTTCATGCTAATTTGCAGCGCCATTCTGTTGTTCTTTCACCAGCTGGGAAACAGGATGTTTCCCTCCTGTTCATCCCAAAACAATGCATACAGCTTTCAGACAGCTGCTTGCCTCCCAGTTCAAAAGCTCAGCCCGGTCAGGGTAATGAATGGTGCAAGTGCTGTCCAGACGTCGCTCCTGAAACTCTTAGAGCAGGACTGACCCACGGCAATCCATAACTTTGAAGAGCTTTTGTTTTCCGAGAGCAGGTGACATTGAACCAGCCTCCATGGCTAAATGCTATTCTGTCTGGTCTCTGTAGTCGTGTTCCCACTTGTGAGGAGAAGCTGTGTTCACGTCTGATGGGGTGAGCCTTGTAGCTTCTTGCCACTCCCGACAGAGCGTGGCATGGCAAACGGGGCTGCGCTCTCCTTCCCCACACCACCCATGTGTCCAGCTACAAGCCACCTGTGGGCCGAAGTATTTGTGAAGGAACTGTGTGCCTTCTTCCAAGTTCTGGGACCTTCCTCTCACTCACTCAGTGTTGCACTCCTGACTTCAGTGTTGCACTGAGTGTCTGGTGGGCCCCCTCCCCAGCACGCCCAGAATGGCTGTCTTGTGTATTTGCTGTCCGTGTTTCCTCCTGACCAGCTGTCCGCCATGCTTCTGGTGCTTGAATGGGCTGCAAGCCATTTGGGGCCGCAAGATGATATTCTGGGCCCTCGGCTTCTCTTCTAGAAGTGTTAAATGTCTGAGTTTGGGGCTCTTCCCATGCCTTAAGGAGAGAAAGTGTTTTTCCCCTAACTAGCTTCCCTGCAATCCACACAGCCAGCTCAGTAATTGGGGACTATTTTTAGCTGCTTCCCACACAAGCTGTCAAGTCTCTCATGAGCTCCTGAAACCCAGCTCAGCACTGGCCACAATAGCCATATAATTCCCGACTTGTTCTTTCCTCCAGTTCGGCACCAGCAGCAACAATCAGTTGGCGGAGAAGGTGAGATTGCGCCTTCGATGTGAAGAGGCTAAGAGAAGGTAATTAGAGGCTGGGGGCTGGGGGTAGGATGGCCCCAACAATGATAGCTACCATTGTAGAGTGTCTGCTCTGTGCCTGCTTTTTACACATCTCATCACGTTTAATCCTCACAAAGATTGTGAAGGTATTATCATCTTCATACATTCATCCTCTCTGAAACTCAGGAAATGACTCAGCCAGGGACACTTAGCTAGATGAAGAATGGAACTATGCTTTGAACCATACTTTAAACCTCAAAGCCTCGTAATCTTTCCACTTGCCCGCCTGAAAATCAACCTCTAAAATCGGGGTTTACCAACAATCGTACAAGTAGTTTGGTGTGAAGGAGCACAGCTGGGGTTTTAGCAACAGGCTAAAAAGACTACGGATACTACCCACTTCAGTGTCTCCTGCTCAGCTGGGAACAAGCTGTGTTTTTAAACTGTGTAGACACCAGGGACTTCAGATGTTCTGTGGCTTCACAGAATCCTAAGCAGCTGGGTTCCACTGCCACAAATAAAATTAAAATAGTAATCAAAGCTGACATTTCTAGAGCATCTGTAACGGTCCACGCAATGTGGACAGGAATCTTGATAGAAACTATTCAATGGAAGATGCAAAAAAGGAAATTTGTTGGTTACTGTACTCCAAACTGCTGCGGTAACTAGCTTCAGGCACAGCTGGATCCAGGGATTCAAATGATGTTACATAGACTCAAACGCTCTCCTTTTCTTAGCCCTGCTTGCCTTTGTGTTGACAGACTTTCCTGTCAAAGCAGAAAGATGACCCCCAGCAATTCTAGGCTTACATACTACCAGGTTAGAAACCCCAGAGGACCTACCTTTCACAACTGTTTTAACAAGCTTTGGGTTTGAGACTCACTGGCTTTTCTGGGAGAACCAATCATTATTGCAGGGTGGGAGGAATAAGAATTCTATGAAGGTCCAAGCATGGGTCACATGCACGACTCTGGGAAGGGGACTGAGGTCAGCTTTGTGGGAACCAAGTGACTTGAAAGTACGGGAGGACTGATTTCCCAAAGAAAATTTGGAATATTGTTAACAAAAGAAGGAGAAGTTGGGTACAGTTCAGGTGGGAAGAAACACATCCTGTGCACTATTTCAGCTCCCCCTAGAGGTCCAGCAAAACAGCACGATTTCTACGTTTGGACAACCACTTCTTGTCCCCTCTGAAGGCGACCACTCTGAACCCTGGATCTATTCCAGTTTGCTGGAATGCCTATCTTAGATGATCTGTTATGGAGAAATGAAAGGACTGAAATCTTCCCTTTGGGGTTGAGCCATTAAACTTCTCATCACAGAGCTTCCTGGCTCATCCTTTATCCAGCTTTGTGCCTCCCCCTTCACCCAAAGGTAGCTGAGCACATTATTGACCGTGGGATTTTTGCAGAAACTAATGCCTGTGGCCGTACGCAATACGTCTCCGGTCAAAAATGTGTTAAGTATAAAGAATAGAGCAGCCTGCTGAATGGGAAAGCAGAGGCTGCAGGTCTTGAAGCAGGGAGGGCAAGTGGCTATACAACGCAAGGTCTGATCATTGTATGCCGAGTTTTGTCACATGTGTGTTTCTTGGCAGTGAGTCTAGCAGATTTCATCAGATTCTCCTAAGGATGTATGGCTAAAAGTTTAGGGGTCACTGGCATAAGGAAAACGCCACCAGAAAGTACATCCAAGAAAGCATCAATTACCCCTTCAATGTCCCATGTGTAGTGGAGCCCCTGCCAGACCTGGCCACACCACTCTATCCTTGAAGCAGCTGGACGGATAACAGCAGCTACAGAGTTATCCCAAAGCCAGTTTTGATGGATTGCTGTATATGTGAATATGGAATTTAAATTAATTAACTCTGAGAATCCCTGCTGAGACACTTGGCTGGGGAATGAGCACATGTAGATGTGTTTCTCTGTATGGAGTTTTCACTACACAGCATGGAGATCTTGTCCCCAACAGTGTTTTGAGTTTGGTCACATTGTTTGCAGATAAGATTGAACTGTGACATCCCTGGTGGTGCAGTGGTTGGGAGTCCGCCTGCCAGTGCGGGGGATGCGGGTTCGATCCCTGGTCCGGGAGGATCCCACATGCCGCAGCACAGCTAAGCCCTTGCGTCACAATTACCGAGCCTGTGCTCTAGAGCCCGCGCGCCACAACTACTGAGCCCGCGTGCCTAGAGCCTGTGCTCCGCAACAAGAGAATCCACCGCAATGAGAAGCCCGTGCACCGCACTGAAGAGTAGCCCCCGCTGCCCGCAACTAGAGAGAGCCTGCACACAGCAACGAAGACCCAACGCAGCAAATTATTTATTTATTTATTTATTTAATTTTAAAAAAGATTTAACTGAGGGTCCAGAGGTCTGGAACCTCAGCAGATATTGACCACGTTTATGACCTGCAGTCTTAGGTGAGCCATATCCTCTCTGGCCATCTGTCCAACAGGGTTGCCACCAGGTCCTATCCACCCTTTAGGGATGGGGTGAGGCTAGGACAGTGATAGCTAAAAGCACTTTGCAAAGACTAAATCCTAAAGGATCACATGATTGCTTTTAAATATTTGAAGCAATACTCTTAGCAATACTGTGAATCTTAATTTGATCCAACAATAATCATACCTAATGTCTATGTAGCGCTTGGCATTATATAAAGAGCTCTTAATGATATGTTTTCACTTGGTCCTCATAACCCACCTTGCAGGTACCATCATTATTCCCATCTTACAGATGAGGATACTGTGTCTCAAAGCAGTGAAGGGCTCCCAACTCCTTCCTGTAACACTTACTAAGGGCCTGCAGTGTACCAGGCACTGTGCTAGAAGCTTGTGTTACCTAAATGATTTCTTAAGAAGGTCAGAGCCAAGACTCCAACCCAAAGCCTCTGACCTCAAATCCGCAGCTGTTCACCGGGTATTGCCGCCACTTTCTAGATTGAGAACACAAGGTTAGCAATGACAGTATTTGCTGTGGTCGTAGTGGGCCCATGACTGCCACTGGTTCAGCACTTATGTGCCAGACACACTGAACACATAAGTGCTCATTTTCACACCAATTCTGAAGGAGGAGTAACTGTTCTCTTATATACAAGGCTCAGGGAGTGTGCCCAACATTACACACCTAAGAAGCAGTGAAACCAGGGAATAAGCACAGTGACAGTGGAAACATTCACTGCGTGCTTGTTTAGCACGCGCGAAATGTGCTTGGACATTTTACGAATTATGTCATAAAACCTTCAACCGTTACCCCACAAGGAAGGAAGTTTTGTTATTCCCTTCAGAGAGACGAAGAGACTTGCCCAAGGTCACCTAGCTAGTGGTAGGAGGCTATTGCCTGGCGACGAATCCACCTCTACTCGATCAGGCTTCGTGTCCCTGCGGGCAAGGACACTGCCTCTACCCTATCCCCCTGCAGGGCCTACTCACCGTTGGCACATGGTAGGCACCGCCTACGTTTGTTAGATAAAAAATCTGTTCCGTGAGACCACACCGCTGATTCAAAGGAAGTCAGTCACTGTCAAAGAGGATGCTCTGAGAACAGCGTGGCCTCCCTGGACCATGTAACCTTGGAAACACAGTCTGTCCCGCTGCTCCCGCATTGCCCTGGGCACACCGGTCACGCTCACCCTCTTGGCCCGCAGGATCGCCAACCTGAAGATCCAGCTGGCCAAGCTCGACAGCGAGGCCTGGCCGGGGGTGCTCGACTCCGAGAGGGACCGGCTGATCCTCATCAACGAGAAGGAGGAGCTGCTGAAGGAGATGCGCTTCATCAGCCCCCGGAAGTGGACCCAGGGGGAGGTGGAGCAGCTGGAGATGGCCCGGAAGCGGCTGGAGAAGGACCTGCAGGCGGCCCGGGACACCCAGAGCAAGGCGCTGACCGAGAGGTGGGGCTGGGCTGCGGGCCGGGGTGGGGGGCCGGGGCCCTTCCCTCCCTGCCGGTCCGTCCTCCGGCCCCCAGCGGGGTGGGGAGAGGTGACGGGGACAACCTGGGACTCCTGGGCTCCAGCCCGAGGACACTCAGTTTAAAGATCTCACCGCTTTCCAAAGTAGCGAATCTGGGGAAGTGACTCAGCATCCAGCTACCCCGGAACTTTACACAGGGAGTCGCATTACCAAAAAATCTGCTTACCTGCAGGTTTTCAGAAATTATCTTCTGACTAAGATAAACTCTATGTGATTTAGAGCAGTCGTTCTCCAACTTTGTGGCAGTGATTCACATTGTATTATTATCTCATAGACAACAGTTTCACAAAGCAGTGCATACTCTTTCTCTGTGTGACAGCCCTCTGATATTTTCTTTTGTGTTGCATTTCTTTTCATGCTGGTCATGACCCACTAAATTGATTTCGCCACATGCTAGCAAATTGCAATTTGCAGTTTGAAATACACTGGTTGAGATGGGGGTCGCGAACTGAGATGTTTATAGGAGTCAAGCAGGTGATATAAATGCCAGAGGCCCACCTGGCCGTGGGCCATGTTAGACTGGAAGGTACAGACCCCACTTGTCTAAAGCAGGCGCCGTCTGCAGCCAGTGGAGGTGCAGGCCCCAGGCTGCCAGAGGCCCCCATATTTCAAGAAAAGAGTTGTTTGGAATTTTTTTTTTTTTTTTTTTTTTATTGGCAACTAATCCAAAAATTTTTTTAAATACCATGAGGGCTAAATCAGCTTCATCTGTGGGCTTAATTTAACCTGAAAGCCACTGGTTTCCGTTCTCCGGTTGAAGCCTTATAACAGACTTTACTACCTTCAGTGTCTCACCAGCCTCCACACCCACAATGCACGAAGCACAACTCCGTGCTCACAGTGGGCCCTACAATCCCCAGTTTCTCATTCATTCATTCATTCTGTCCATCAGCCCGTTGTTTGTTCATTCATTCATGTAAGAAACGTCTTGTTGCACATATTTTGTGTGCAAGGCAATTTGGAGGATTCAGAAATGAATAAGTCACGATCCCTGCCCTGATACCCTTAAAATCTATTCAGTTATTTTCACTTGCTTTTTGGCAGCAGACTTTATTGAACAAGGCCCCTGCCCTTAAGGAGCTGGAGTTGAAGATGGTGATTTTCAGACTTGTTGGGGGAGGGGGAGGTGGGGGAGAGGGGGAATTCCTCTTTCCAGTGAAATCAGAGGCAGAAGCCCAGTTTATAAAGCAGATAAATTTGTCTGGACCCAGTGGCAGCAGGCCAGGCGTCCTAGGTGCCTGGCTGTGCTCCTTGCATCACCCCATGATGGGTCCTAAGATGCTTTCAGGGAGCCTCCCGAGTGCTAAGGAACCCTGCTTGCAGTCCCACCCTAGTAACTGAGTAAGCTCTATTTGCACATGGTGGGGTGCCAGACAGGTCACATTGACCAGCCTCTTTCTGGCCTCTTGTGACCACATCACACATTGACTGGGGAATCTCTCCCCACCAAGCCCCTTGTCAGAACTACTACCAGGGATATGTCACTTTCCTCTCCTTTATCTTCCCCTGGGAGGGGTGGCTGATCAGCACTGACCTCCCACCAGGCAGGTGGAAGAGGGAGGGGGAGAGGGCTTCAGTATTTGGTGCTTTGTAACCCTAGGAAGCACCTTCTAGAATTCTCTCTTAGTGCCAACACTTTGTCCTGTTTTCCCCAAGGCTGTCTGTGCACCTTGGGGACAAGGCCTGTGTCTAGACACCTTTGTGCCTTTAGTGTTAGTTGAATGCATAAATGGTTCGCCAGGCCTCTGTGTGCATCTCCTGATCTGTCTACCAGTCCTCTGGGCCCCTGACCCTACAGCCGTCACTGGAAAGCCCTTAGCTTTTCATTATGCTCACAGCTGGCAGCTGAAGAGAACAGATCCCTGGCAACCTTACTCCTTGTTGGGTCAGTAGAGATACCCTTCCCACCACCTACCTTGTGCAAGCCATTGACCAATATGGACTTCAATGGCCTAATAGGGGGGAAAAAACCAGGATAATTACATTGAATACTTATATATTCTGAAGGCAGGTGGTTGGACCAGATTGTGAATTGAGGCTCTTCTCTGCTATCATAATTTTGGTTTCTCGAAACTAGGATTGGATATTCTTTTAGAGACCCCTATACTACATGCAAAATGTACCATTAAGTACCAGACTCTGTAAGCTATATCATCTCATTTAAACCTCCCAGCAGCCCTGAGGTTAATCTCCATTTCATAGTTGTGGAAACTGAGGCTCACCCAACATCACCAAATGGCAGAGCTGGGATCACAACCCAGGCTTGCTGGCTCTGGAGCTCATGCTTGCCTTAGTCTCCTGCCCGCTTAGAAGGTCTTTTATTATTGCCTTCAGCCCCGTCTTTCCAAGGTCTGATTGCTCCCCTGGAACAGTGAGTTCACACGGCCAGTCCAGGGAAGCCAGAACCTCCACGCCGTGGCAGCTGCTGAGCAGGTGTCTCGAGGTCCCAGAGGGCAAGGTCCCCTGGGGGACATGCAGAGAGAAGCCAGAGGGCACGTGGGCAGGAAGAGGCGAGAGCCTTGGGAAGGACAGGGACAGGGCTGATGGCTGTGAGCCTCCTGCACGAAAGAGAGGAGAAAGCCCACCCAGCCGTCTTCATCTGTGTTCAGCTGTCTGCCTCTGGCCCCCTGTTTGTCTGTGTTCATCCCTCTGACTCTCTCTTGTTCTCTCTCTAGGTTTCTTTCTCTTTTTGCTTCTCGTGCTCCTCTCTCTCTTCTCTCTCTCTGTCTCTCAGCATGGGAGTATTAGACTCGTCACCTCACACAACAGCCTCTCTGTTCAAGGTGCCTTTGAGAAGGCCAGGAAGAGACACATCCAGGAAGAGCACACCACAGGGCCTACCAAACCCCAGTGTCGAATCAATCAGAAGCACAGACGTCCCCCCAGGACTCCCCGTCCTGCACGCCGCTTCCTCCTCCCTCCCCAGGGGCCCTCCCCAGCACTCCTGAGAGCTGCAGTGCCTGTTAGAGTGCGGACTCCCTGCCCCCACCCCAGGGACCAATTCCCCAGGCCTGAGATGGAGCCCAGGCTCTTGCATTTTTAACCAGCACCCCAGGGACTGAGCCGCAGCTTGTGGGGGTTCCAACCCCACCTCCCGGGTCCTCTGCCTGCTTCCACACTTGATGTGTTCTCGGCCTCCCGGCATGTGCCAGGCATCACATGCAAACACCGTATGGCCAGCGAAGCCCAATACCTGTAGGAGGCCGCCTCGGCATCTGTGTGTGGCTGCTGGTAGCTACACCCCTGTGCTCGGGCGGTCAAGGCCATCTGGCTCCCGGTCCACTCATCCTCCTCTTGGAGCTCCACTGGGGACCTGCACTTACTGCCAGAGCACACCTCTGTGGTCTCCGCCCAGGGGAGAGGAAAACAAAGGTAGAAATGGTAGCCCAGGCTGCGCCTTGACCCCAGACCTCACACCCTTTCAAGGTCTTGCTCTCATGAAGGGTCAGATTCCATAGTCGTGTCCATTGCGCTGAAAACTGGGATTTTGTTCCATGGTCGTGTCCATTGCGCTGAAAACCGGGATTTTGTTCATTATGGGCTCCATCTGCCAGCCCCGCTAGTCCCGGGCAGGACTCTGGAAGAACAGGGCTGGGGGCTGAGCTGGCCAAAAACCATGCCGAGACCACGGCTCCCGTGGTCTTTTCTGAAATTTCACAAGGCCAGTTCCCCAGTGACTGGTCCTGCCCCTCCCTTATCACTTTGCAGTTGTGTCTCAAGCAAGCTCTGGTCTTCATGGCAGGGCCTGTGTTGGAGGCCTTGGGTGTGTCAGTGGAGGGATGGCGTGGTTAGGTTTTCCATGGAAATGAACTCTTCCTCCCAGGCCCCAGGCTGGGTTGGCTGTGCTCTGAGAGCAGTGAGTCGGTCATTCCTCCTGCAGCAGGATGGCATAAGGGGATAAGATGCCAACGGTGGGACATACCTGTCCATGGGAGATTTAACATCCAGGTCTCTCAGCAGAGCAAATGAGCTTTCCCTCCGTCAAGTGGGGAAAAGTCTTCCATTCAGCAATAACTTTTCAAGCACATCCATATGGTGGGCGCCATGCTAGGGGCCGAGAGAGTGAGGCACAGTTCCTGCCTTACGATCCCCAGCCAGTACAGCAGCTCAGAAACCTTACTGTGCCTAAAAGTCACCTGGAATAGGGAATAAAGATGCAGATTCCAGGGAATTAATTCCCTGGTGGTCCAGTGCTTAGGACTTGGCACTTTCACTGCCGGGGCCCGGGCTCAATCTCTGGTTAGAGAACTCAGATCCTGGAAGCTGCACAGCGTGGCCAAAAAAAAAAAAGATGCAGATTCCTGAGCCCTGGCCCTAGACTTCCTGATTCAGTAGATCTAAGTAGAATTCGGGGATGTGCATTTAATAAGCACACCTCCCCTTCTGGTGGGGGAGCTCTGTGGGCCACAGACAGAGAACCACTAATCTAGTGGATGCAGGAGAGCAGCCCAAGTCATGAGTGGGTGATGGAGCTCCTTCCTTGTCAGATCCAAGGAGCAGCACCCTCTCTGGAGCCCACCCAAGCTTCCCCCATGGGGAATTTCAGGAGAAACTGGGGGCTGAGCAGAGCCTATATCCAGCCATCCCTTCTAAGCTCAAGGGTTTTGCCTTCAGGAAGGGAGCTGCTGAATTGGGCTCTGGTGTGGGCATGCCTGGGTGCAGGCCTTAGCTCCCGGGTTCTGACTCTGTCACGCTCACCTGGATCCTCCCCAGGCTCTCTGGAACCACTCTCTTCAGCTCCTTGGCTGACTATTGCCCATCCATTCAGCCTTGGGATGGCAGACTCAGAGTTCAGTCCTGGACCCTACTTTTTTTTCCTTCTGTATTTTACCCTAAGATGGTGCATTCATTTGTTAGGGCTGCCAAACCAAAGTTCCACAAACTGGATCACTTAAACAATGGTAATTTATTTCCTCACAGTCCTGGAAGCCACAAGTCCAAGGACAAGGTGTTGGCAGGGTTGTTTCTCCTGAGATCTCTCTCCTTGGCCTGTGGATGGTCATCTACCGTGTCTTCACTTGGTCTTCTCTCTCTGCATGTCTGTACACAGCGTAGGGAGGGATGGTTGGGTGGGTTCCTAATTCTGCCAGTAACTCTCTAGCTTTAAGTAAACTATTTAACTCTAAGAGCTTCAGTTTTCTCGTATATAAAGTGGTTAAAGAAAAAAAGTTCTTGGGCTTCCCTGGTGGCGCAGTGGTTGAGAGTCCGCCTGCCGGTGCAGGGGACACGGGTTCGTGCCCCGGTCCAGGAAGGTCCCACGTGCCGTGGAGCGGCTGGGCCCGTGAACCGTGGCCGCTGGGCCTGCACGTCCGGAGCCTGTGCTCCGCAACGGGAGAGGCCACAGCAGTGAGAGGTCTGCGTACCGCAAAAAAAAAAACAAAACAAACAAAAAAAAAAAAAACAAAAAAATTCTTACTATGCAGGGTTATTGTGCAAATGATTTAAGGCAATGTTATAAGTTTCCTAGTCAGCCCCTGGTATATAGCAGGTGATGCATATAGCAGTTACTATAGGATTATATGTAGAGGCCATACCTCTCCAAACATCATAATATCATGCCTCCAGGAAGTTCTTGTGTGTGCGTCTGTGGGTCTGTGCGTACATCTCCATGAGCCCATGCCTGTGATTCCTTTTATGGGCAGATGGAGGCGGGTTCCCTCCGAGCTCCCCACTCATGCCTTCTCTCCCTTCAGGTTGAAGTTAAACAGTAAGAGGAACCAGCTGGTGAGAGAGCTTGAGGAAGCCACCCGGCAGGTAGCAGCTCTGCACTGCCAGCTGAAAAGGTGAGTAGTAGGCAGTGGGGTGAGCGCTCCCCTGGGCACGGCCATATGCAGGCGTCCCGAGGCAGCCCAGCCCAGCTTCTGCCCTTCACGTGTCCTCCGTGGCCTGAGCGTGCCCGTTTAGAAGCACAGCAGGCAGACGGATGATCTGGGGGACTCGCTCTGGGTCTGGTGTGGCTGGGGGCAGGGCCCTTCACCTCCCCAGACCGCAGCCTCCTTGGTCCTCTGACAACACAACAGAACGCCCCAGTTGGGTGCTAGTGTGTCTTGTTCAGGTCTCTCCAGCCCACTCGCACAACGCAGAGAGGGTAGGCCTCAGGCTGGGGCCTCGGTGGGCAACGTGGCTGGAATTTTATCACAACATCCTGTTTTCATCAAATATTTTTAACAGTCGACAATGCTTTTCAAATTACACTTAGGGTATAACGTTTCCTTTTTCAGAAAGCTATATTAATGTGTAAAAAGTGAGTTGAGTTAAAGGAAAATATTAAGCAGCATTATTGGGGGTTGGATTCAGATATGGAGAAATATGAAAATGGAATGCCGCTGGTGGAGGTTTGAGAAACAGAGATATTGAGGAGAAAGTGGACTTTTAAGGCAGCTGGCTTGGGTTCGAATCCCAGCTCTGCCAGCTCGTGATTATGTGGCCTTCTCGGGATATCCTCTTTAGTGAAATGGGGATGCGCGGTCCGCCCTGGAGACTGTCAAGAGGGTCTGATGAGATGTTGCATTCTCAGCGCACGTGGTGCTTTTCGGGGGAAGTTCGGGGCGGCCCACCCACTCTGTGTCCTCGCCCTCCCTCCCCTGCCCCAGCCTCTCTGGCAGCATGCAGAGCCTGTCCTCGGGCAGCAGCCCCGGATCCCTCACGTCCAGCCGGGGCTCCCTGGCCGCCTCTAGCCTGGACTCCTCCACCTCAGCCAGCTTCACCGACCTCTACTATGACCCCTTCGAACAGCTGGACTCGGAACTACAGAGCAAGGTGGAATTCCTGCTCCTGGAGGGGGCCACGGGCTTCCGGCCCTCGGGCTGCATCACCACCATCCACGAGGACGAGGTGGCCAAGACCCAGAAGGCAGAGGGGGGCGGCCGCCTGCAGGCCCTGCGCTCCTTGTCCGGCACCCCGAAGTCCATGAGCTCCCTGTCCCCCCGTTCCTCGCTCTCTTCCCCGTCCCCGCCCTGCTCCCCTCTCATCGCCGACCCCCTCCTGGCTGGAGACGCCTTCCTGAGCAACCTAGAGTTTGAAGACCCCGAGCTGAGTGCCACTCTTTGCGAACTGAGCCTTGGCAACAGCACCCGGGAGAGGTACCGGCTGGAGGAACCCGGAACAGAGGGCCAGCCTCTGGGCCAAGGTACAGGGCACCACATCCGGAGGGCGGGAGCCTCCGGGAGCGAGGAGGGCGGGAACTGTCCTCGGGTCCGAGTTCCAGACCCCAGTGATAATTATGGGCGGTGTGGTTTGGGGTTTTTTTTAAATTAATTAATTAATTTTACTTTTGGCCGCGTTGAGTCTACGTTGCTGCTCGCAGGCTTTCTCTAATTGCAGTGAGCGGGGGCTACTCTTTGTTGTGGTGCCTGGGCTTCTCATTGCAGTGGCTTCTCTTGTGGCGGAGCACGGGCTCTAGGCGCGCGGGCCCCAGTAGTTGTGGCGTGCGGCCTCAGTAGTTGTGGCTTGTGGGCTCTAGAGCGCAGGCCCAGTAGTTGTGGCACACGGGCTTAGTTGCTCCGCGGCATGTGGGATGTTCCCCGACCAGGGCTCAAACCCGTGTCCCCTGCATTGGCAGGCGGATTCTTAACCACTGCGCCACCAGGGAAGCCCCTGTGGGCAACATTTACTGACTGCTTTTCTATGTGCCAGATCTTTACATGGTATATTGATTTATTTATTCATTCAGTAGGTATTTATTATGTGTTTACTATGGTCTAGGTCTTGAGCGAAGGGTTTTCCATGGTGGGTTCATTCATGCAACAGATATTAAGTACCTCCTGAAACTAAATGCCAGGTCCTGTGCTAATGGGTGTACATGGATTCATTCTTTCTTTCATTCAACTGATATGCCATGTGGGTTAGTCACAAGGATACAGCGTGGAGGACAGACAAGGTCCCGGTTCTCGTGAAGCCTCCATGCAAATGAAGGCACAGACAATAACTGTACAAGCAGACCAATAAAAGCGCTAGGAAGAAAATAAAACAGGGCAGGGCTTCCCTGGTGGCGCCGTGGTTGAGAGTCCGCCTGCCGATGCAGGGGGTGCGGTTTCGTGCCCCGGTCTGGGAAGATCCCACGTGCCGCGGAGCGGCTGGGCCCGTGAGCCATGGCCGCTGAGTCTGCGCGTCCGGAGCCTGTGCTCCGCAACGGGAGAGGGGGCCGCAGCAGTGAGAGGCCCGCGTACCGCAAAATAAATAAATAAATAAAACAGGGCACGTGATGGAGCCTTTCAGGTTGGGTTAGGGCTGCCAGTTCAGACTGGGTGGTGAAAGAAGGCAACACTTGCACGGAGCCTGGAGCGGTGAGAGGGAGCCAGCCTTGGGAGAAGCAAGAGCAAAGTCTCTGAGGCTGGAGCCAGAGGCTGCAAGAGGGGCCAGAGGGAGGAGATCACTAACAAGGCAGGGTACTGGGCAGGGTACTGGGCAGAGTACTGGGCAGGGTACTGGGCAGAGTACTGGGCAGAGTACGGGTTGTGTAAGGTAAGGAGTTTACGTTTTACCCTCATTGCAGCAAGGATCCGTGTGACTCTTTGAAGCCAGGGAATGATATGACTCCCATTCTTCATGGGGTCAGAAAAGAGCATTATGGTGTGGACTGAGATTCAGGTCGGAAGCTGTCATCATCAGCTTCAGGTCGGATGCTGATGATGACAGCTAAGATTTATTACAAGAAAAATCTTTATCTTTAGCAGCAACCACATAATAAATTATAATGGTTAAAATTTATTGGGGTGCATTATGTGGTGAGCAATGTGCTTTATATGATGAAATAGGTTACTTCCATTATACCCATTTCACAGATGAGGAAACAGAGGTTCAGAGAGGTGCTTCCCCAGCAGGTGGGGAAGCAGGGATTGGAATCTGGGCTTTTCTGACCCCAGAGCCCAATCTCTGTATCATCATGCTCCCCTTAGGACATGAGGCAGCTCTGTGTATTCATTCCTAAGACACTCCTGGTGCTCGCTGATGCCATCATGCCTATGGTATGAAGGTCAGGACTGAGCAGGGTGATTTCTCAAGTTCATGTGTGCAAGATAACAGGCACCGTTAGGCATACTTACTCACATAAGCCTCACAACACCACTCTGAGGTGGGGGCTATTATTATCCTCCTCTTACAGACTGAAAGGAATGAGACTCAGCAAGGTTAAGTGACTTGTCCAAGGTCATTGTCACTGCTGTGAAGCGGTAGAGTCAGGACTGGCTCTAGGACCACCTGCCCAGAACCCACAATGAGCCATGTGCCAGCTCTGTCGGCAAAGGGCTCCTGGTCCTGGCTCCTGTGAGGCCAGCTAGAAGCTCAACCCACTTCAGCCATCAGCTCCAGGAATGGGTGGGAGGGCAGCCGCTGCACCCAGAGCTATCAATTCCTTCGTGTGCAAGGGCCAGTGGGAGCAAGGGGGGAACGACGAGATTTCCCAGTTAATTAAAGGCTTTGCTGGGTGCGTGCCAGCCGCTTCCTTAGAAGAGGAGCTGAGAGATCCCTGGGGCTCCCTCACCAGGAAGGGAGTCTTGCCGAGTGCCTTCAAACAAAAATAAAAACAGGCTTCCTACTGCAGCCGGTGGCAAGCTTCAGAAAATTGTTCCCTGGAGAGGAGGGGTGTGCAGGTGGTACCCCTAACAAGGCTCAAGAAGCGTTCCCGGCGCTCCCTGTCAAAAGGCTGCGATAAGCTGGCTCGGGGATGCTGGGACCCCAACTGAGTGCAGGGAGCGACCCCCATCCCCCCGCCTCCCGCCACGACGTTCGTGCAGCTTGGGGGCCAGAGCCCGCTCGCGTCTCAGGTCTGCGTTTCTTCATGCCACCTCCAGAAGCGTTCCCCGCTGCCAGCTGATGCCAGGCTGAGCCCAGACACTAAGCAGGTTATGCGATTAGTGCCACTGTTCAGTCAGCAGACAAATTAATCTCCTTAAGTGGTTTAGTGAAGGGTGGAGAGCGGTGGGTCTGAAGGCAGGAGGTCTCCAGGGCTGCAGCAGCAGATGTGGGACACAGGCTGGGAAAGCCGCGCCCACATGGCCCCTTGGCTTCTCCCAGGCTCACTGTCACCATCCCCACCCCCAGCCCCTTCTCCAGTCTGCCCACCCCCCTCCCATGTGCCTGGCACACAGGGAAGTGCTGGCCGTGAGGTTGAAGCCCCTGAATCTGTCCTTCCCCTGCTGCGCGTGGAGGTCAGGAGCTGTCCTATTCATCTTAGTAGCTCTGAACTTAGCAATGGACCTGGCACACCGTCAGCGCCCATTACTTGGGGAAGGAAGGAATGTGCAGTGTGTGCTGAAAGCTTGGGCCTGAGCCCCGGGTAGAGACTTCTGAGGGCCTCTGTCAACGGCAGGGGAGATGGGCTGAGTTAGGAATGGAATGGGATAGGCGAGTAGGACAGCCAGTACTTACGTCCTTCCCTTCCTCCTCCTCTTGCCCCTCCCAAGGGGGTCCGGGGGCTGTTATTTTGCCCCAGGTGTGTAGGGATCGATCTAGAAGGCATCGCTGTAGTGATGGGAGTGATAGTCGTAGTAGCTAAGGATGGTGGTACTGACTTTTCTAGAGCACTTCCCCTGCACCAGTCTCTGTACTAAGGACTTCCCTTTATCATCGCATCCAGTCTTCCCAACAGCCCTGCAAGGCAGGTATTATTATCCCCATTTTACAGATGAGGAATGCAGGGCCGAGAGGGAGTACATCAGTGTCCCACTGTCATGAAGCAGCATGTGGCAGAACTGCGATTTGAACCCAGGTGGTTTGGCTCTGGAGTCAGAGACGTTAAACACAGAATCACATGCTACCCTTTCCTTCACCGCAAAAAAAAAGGCAGGACCTTGCTGTCAGGTTCAGAGGTGGCTGGACTTGGGTGGGACCATGTTAGGACAGTGGGGGGGATCAAAAGATGTACTGTGACCGACAGTATCCTGATTTCTAAACCCCGCCTTGCCATCCTTCCTTTTTTCCTCTCTTCTCCCAGCTGCGAATAAGGCTCAGGGGTGCGACCTGAAAGTGGCCTGTGTCTCAGCTGCGGTGTCGGATGAATCCGTGGCCGGGGACAGTGGTGTGTATGAGGCTTCCGTGCAGAGGTGGGTCCCTGAGTCTTGGGAGCTCTGAGTACGCGAGGCCCAGGCCTCCTCGGGTGTGTGCGAGGGACCCCCAGGCGGCTGGTGCTGAAGAAGACCTGCTACTCCTCCCGGGGCTGGAGAGGCCTCACGTGTGGGGGATTTGCTATTTCCGCAACTGCCATTAAGGGTATATGGCTAGAGGAGCAAGTGTTAGAGAAAGCGCAGCTGCTGCTTCAAGAGAGGGAGCCGGGGTAGCTGTGGGCAGGCAGGGTCCACAGGGAGGCTGAGCAGACCCAAACCTTCCTCCTTGAGGACCCAGCTTCTCCCTCCCAGAGAGAACCCTGTCTCTGGAAAATGCCTCTGGCCCCTGGTCGCTACAGGGAAGCCTGACCCTCTTTCTTTCCTGCGTTGCTTTCCAGACTGGGTGCCTCAGAAGCCGCTGCTTTTGACAGTGACGAGTCAGAAGTAGTGGGTGCAACCCGGGTTCAGATTGCCCTGAAGTAAGTGGCAGGGAGGGCGGGACAGTGGGGGGTGGTCTGTGCAGGGTCTCCTCCTGGCCTGCAGCATCTCCAGCATTTACCCTCACAGCTGCCCAGCGAGGCAGGCAGAACCAGCGGGACCTGCTGACAGCTGTGGGCTCCTAACTAAAGCGGGTGGGGTGGGGCGGGGGGGTCTCTTTCCATGCCTCCCAGTTCCCCATTTCACAAAAGAGGAAAAACAAGGTTTGAAGACCTTGTAACTTGCCCGGATTCACTGAGCTGGCCGGTGGCAGAGCCAGGCAGGGACCAAGACCTCCTGCCTTTTGGTCTGTTTGGTCGTTGTTGCCACGGCTTTTGTCTTATCATCTCACCTAGACCGAAGTCAACCCCTGGGGGCTGCAGCCCAGATTTATTGTTTTCTCTTGATGCAGGTTGGCCCCAGTATCTTTTAAAATAGGAATTAACTGCCAGTGTTTAAATGTCAGGAAATTTTATACAACCTCTGGCTTCTCGTTAAAAATTCAGACCGACAGCTCTGGACCTGCATCCCTGCATGGCAGCAAACACTGGGCCTGTGCTCTCCAGCTCACCACAGTCCCCAGAGCAGCCAGCAGCCGCATCTGTGATTATTGAGGGAGAGAGAGATAAATGTGTTACTAACAGGTGCTCCATATGCCCCCTTTTCATTTCAGGTATGATGAGAAGAATAAGCAGTTTGCAATATTAATCATCCAGCTGAGCAACCTTTCTGCTCTGTTGCTGCAGCAAGACCAGAAAGTGTGAGTGTGTAGCTGATGGGCTGTATATTACCCTCTCCCGCTCTGCGCCCATCCCAGGGGACACTCTCCTGCTCTGTTCTGCTCCAACAACAGGCCTCGTAAACCTCTGTGGGTATTTAGTGCACATGACCGTGATGCACAGTGTCAGTGCCGTGAACGTGGATGCAGGCAGGGCAGCAAACACACTCACTCTAAAGAGGAGCGCCCCAGACAGCTTCAGACCTTCCACATATGCGTCCTGAGCCCCTACCAGGTGCCAGCACTAGGGAAGGGGTGGCGAGCAAACCTCTGCCCTTGTAAACTTGTAGCCTGATGAAGAGGACAGTCACGGCCTCTTTTATCTGCTCTAAGCTCGACTCTTCCACGCAGAAAGAGCCGGGCCTGCCTTTCCGAAGAGCCGGCTCCCATCACTGTGCTTCGTTTGGCAGGTTGTGATGGGTGTTACCTTACAGTTGATGATACAGCAAAGACCTGCACACTCTGCCTCCCAGCTGGGTCCTATGCAGACCGGGTTTATGTTTCATTGAGCTCGTCTGCCTACATGTTCCTTCTTTGCTAGACCCTAGGCCTTGAGGGCAGCAGCAGGATCTTATATTTCTGTGGCCTGCACCCAGCCAGCGTCTGGGGTGTGACACGTGGGAAGGAGGAAAGCAGGCCGGAAAACAGGCAAAACAGAAGGAAGACAAGATTGATTGGACAGTGGACTTGTGTGCAGTTTTCGCTGTTACAAACAGGGCCGGGATGAATAACCTTCTCTGTAACTCGTTGGTACTTGTGCAGCAGTATCTGTGCCTGGAAGCCAGCTGTCTGGGTCAAAGGGTGAATGCATATGTACTTTTGTTAGGATTGTCACCTTCCCCGCCGCCCGAGTTGTGGCATTTTGCCCTCCTACCAGCGGTTGTATGAGTATTCCTCAGTGTTAACAAGCAGCCTCTCAGATCCTTCTGTTCACAGCAGTTTGCACACCGTTGGCCTCAGGCTCCACAAGCTTTGAGGGCCTTGTGATTGGGGGATTCAGTAGAAGGAAAAGCAGCACATTGTCCTTGGGGCCCTTATGCATCCCTCATGAATTAACTGCATAACTACTGGAGAAATTACAAACTCCTGTCCGCTGTTGTTTCCTTGGGGATTTGCAGCCACCGTTTAGCCTAACACCTGAGCCCCAGACCCAGGCTGACCTGACCCAGGCTCTCCTGTGTTCTGTCCCTCTAGGAACATTCGCGTGGCTATCCTTCCCTGCTCCGAGAGTACCACCTGCCTGTTCCGGACCCGGCCTCTGGACGCCTCGGACACCCTGGTGTTCAATGAGGTGTTCTGGGTGTCCATGTCCTACCCAGCCCTTCACCAGAAGACCTTAAGAGTCGACGTCTGCGCCACCGACAGGAGCCATCTGGAGGCGTGCCTGGTGAGGACTGTGTCTGTCTACCTGTGCAGCCTTCTGTCCTTCTGGGAATTGGTCCACCTTGCACTTCAGGAAGAAGGCTTGGAGAAACACAGCTTGTGCTATCAGCCCAGCCTTTCTTGGGTTCTAGGCAGGGGCTCTTCCACAGATGAACAGCGTTGTTCCCAGACTTATTGAGAGAAGGGGAAGGGGGAGCGGGGAGCTCCTTTTTCTGCCGTGGAATTGCAGCGCCACATCCCTTGTGCCTGAGGCTGAGTCACCAGCCTTCCCCACTGTGTGGCCTGAGACTCTTTAATTCTGTCTGTTTCCTTATCTGTAAAGCCAGCTAACACTGGCTACCTCTCAGGTGGTTCTCTGAGGGTTAAATGAAGCACTAAAGCAGTGCCTCTCGAACTTTCACGTGCACACAGGTTACCTGCGGCTCTGGTTAAAATGCACATTCTGATTCAGCAAGTCTGGGTAGGCAGGCAGCAAGATTCTGCATTTCTGTCAAGCTCCCAGGTGATGCCAGTACCGCTGGTCCCCGTAGCAAGGATGTAAAGCAAAGTGTCTGCACACACTAGGTCTCACGGGAAATCAGTTCCCATCCCTTTCCTGCTTGGCTAGGGCTCATAACAGCGTCTTTGCCGTTTATGTTGTTGTTACTGCTCACAGTGATGCAATAGCTTGTGTCAACTGGATGCAATTTATATGCTGGGCTCTGAGCTAAGCTCCTTACGTGTATTATCTCTGTTGATCCTCACTACAATCTTATAAAATAGGTAACTGTTACACCAGTGAGGAAACCGAGGCACAAAGAATTTGCCCAAGGTCACACAGTCAGGAAGTGGCAGGAACAGAGTTAGAACCCAGGCAGGTCCACCTATATCAGACCCTGGATGTTTTCTGGGTGCCAGCACAGTGCTCCCTGGAGCCCCCAGGTGGGATGGTGACTGCAGGGTTTGGCAGGCAGGGTGGGTGCTGCTGAAGGATGGAGCGGAAAGCTTTTCCAAATCCAGGCTCCAGGGAGTTCCCTGGTGGCCAGTGGTTAGGATTCCGGGCTTTCACTGCTGTGGCCTGGGTTCAATCCCTGGTTGGGGAACTGAGAAAACCCACAAGCTGCACAGTGCAGCCCCCAAAAAAGCACATATCTATGTGTGTGTGTATATATATATATACCTAGATAGATAGATAGATAGATAGATACAGACACACACACACACATGTGTGTGTATATATAAAAGGATAGGGCTTCCCTGGTGGCACAGTGGTTGAGAGTCCGCCTGCGGATGCAAGGGACACGAGTTCGTGCCCCGGTCCGGGAGGATCCTACATGCCACGGAGCAGCTGGGCCCGTGAGCCAGGTCCGCTCAGCCTGTGCGTCCGGAGCCTGTGCGTCCGGAGCCTGTGCTCCACTACGGGAGAGGCCACAACAGTGAGAGGCCCGCGTACCGCAAAAAAAAAAGTTGGTTTCCAAAGTGTTTTCAGATGAAAGTCCAATTGATTCACCCTCTGGTAGCTCTCAAGTTCATTTTGTTCTTCTTGGCTACCTTTCTTGTCACTCATGGATTACTGTAATAGTCCTTTGCCTCCAGGTCTGCTCTCCCTTTTGGTCCATCCTCTACATTGTAGGCAGTCATCTTTCCTTTAAAACATAGCAATCTGTTTTATGACACACCTCTGCTCAGTGATAATCAAGATATTCAGTGGTGCCTTCAGTGATTCTTATAACCTATAGGATAGAGTCTATATGTATACCCTTTAATGTAGCCCTTCACCATGTGCACCCAAACCAGCTCACTACCCCTTTTTTGGTCACATAGTCTCCTCTTAAGCTCCAACACACTCAGCTACTAAGCCTTCTCAGGATATGCACAGACTGGTCTAGTCGTTCTGACTTTACAAGTGTTTGGCTCTGCCATGTTTGAAAAAAAAAAAAAAAAAAAAAAGGTAGAATTTTAATTTATTTATTATTTTATTTATTTATTTATTTATTTTTGGCTGAGTTGGGTCTCTGTTGCTGCACGCGGGCTTTCTCCAGTTGCAGCGAGCGGGGGCTACTCTTCGTTGTGGCGCACGGGCTTCTCATTGCGGTGGCTTCTCTTGCTGCGGAGCACGGGCTCTGGGCGCTCGGGCTTCAGTAGTTGTGGCACGCAGGCTCAGTAGTTGTGGCTCGCGGGCTCTAGAGCGCAGGCTCCGTAGTGGTGCTGCACGGGCTTAGTTGCTCCACGGCATGTGGGATCTTCCCGGACCAGGGCTCAAAACCGTGCCCCCTGCACTGGCAGGCAGATTCTTAACCGCTATGCCTCTAGGGAAGCCCCAAGGATAGAATTTTTAAAATAAAAATGAATAAACAAATCCAGGCTCCTCCAGTGAAGCGTTTCCTTAGCCCCGAGCATTCCTAAATGAGAAGAGACTCAGTCCTTTTTCTTCTCCTAATTGGATGCCTTTTATTCCTCCTTCCTAATTGACGGCTGGCCATTGCTGGTTGCCATGGCAGCAGCCAAAGCGCTCATCCCGCCGTGGCTTGTCTCCATCCATGGCCAACGGGAAGCCTCTGTTCCCGTGTGCTGTGGGGACGTGAGTGTTAGGCTGTTGTGTATTGGTGGCTGGAGGAGGAAAGGAAGTGAGACAAGAGGAGGAAGGGCCATAGGCTCCCAAGCACAGTCTCCCCGCACTGCTGGGTTTGTGGAATCCCTGGTCTGTTTTGAGCCATTTAACCAGCCGGGCAAGGACAATAGTACCCATCCTGAGTAGTGTCTGCGTGTCTAGTACTGGGCTAAGAACTTTGTGTGCAGTAGCTCATTTAATCCTCACGACAGCCCTGGGAAGCAATATTAGGATTATCTCCATCTGACAAATAAGGGATCAAGGCCCAGAAAGGCTAATTAACCGGCTCAGATCATCTAGCGAGTAGGTGGAGAAGTCTGGATTTGAACAAGGATTCCAGCATCTTGACGTGTCATCATCACACTATCCTACTGGATTATGGGTTTGGATGAATACTGCCTTCCCCAATATCGTGGGCAACAGTTCCACCAAATGCGTTAGGGTGGCATCGCGGGAATCACAGGCTTTCCAGCCGGGTCCTGGTTGCTCAAGCCCTGACTGTGCACGTTCTGTGAAGGCCGGCCCCTGCCCAGGCCCCACTCATATCCCATGTCTCATCACAACCACCCCCTTGCCCCTTCCTCACTTTGCCATCCCCACTTGGCAAAAACCCAGCCCCATCAAAGTGAACCCTCCCCTCCTCTCCACCCGCGCAATTGGAGCAAAACGCACACACCACTGCCCTGCGGTGTCATTTTAAAATCGTGGTCACGAACCTCCCGAGAGCCCTCTTGCTGCCCAGCGTTTATACTGTGTCTCCCTGGGCCACTTACTGTCCTGCTTGTCTCAGTGACAAATTCTTATCCTCTCCTCTCTCCTTGCCCTTACACCCCCTCCACTGAGGCCCTCCCTTCACACCCAGTTCTGGAAGAGGAGGAGGAACCCCACAGCTGCCACGCCGCCTCTACCTGGCCTCGTGGGCTCTGCTGTTCTTCCCGGAGCTAAGGATGGGCCCTCGCCACTCCCATCTAGGGCCATCCTCTCTCAAGGGCGTCACGCCAACCGTGATTACTCTTTTGCTCTCTCCTGTGTCTCCAGTTTTCCCTCCTTACTGGATCTGGCCTGTCAGTATGCCAACGTCCTGTTATTTCTCCCCTGCTTTAAAAAAAATTTTTTTAACCCCATTTCTTCCTCCAGTTACTACATTATTTTTTTCCTTTGCTCTCTAGCAATGCGTGGAAGAGGTGTGTGTGTTCTCTCTGAATCTCAGTCCATGTGGGCCTTTGCCCTCATCGTTCCACCAGACATGTGCTCATCAGGGACCTCCTTGTTGCTAAATCCGGTGGCCGGCTCGCCATCCTTGTCCCTCTTGGCCTGCCTACAGCGTTTGGCACAGTTGCTCACTCCGTCTTCCTCAGCATCCTTTGCCCTGACTTGGCTTCCCAGACCGCTCTCTCTCCTGGCCTTTTTCCCCCATCACTGGCCTTCTCTGTCTGTCTCCTTTGCAGATTCTTACTCGTTTCCCTGATCTCTCTCTGTTTGAAGGCCCCAGAGCTCAGGCCTTGCTCCTCCCCCCTTTTCTACTTGGCGTGCACTGCTTCGGTGATCTCGTCCTATCCCCTGGCTTCAAACACCATCCCGTGTGATGCCACCAGCCTGGGCCTTCCCACTCATCTCGGCGTTGTATGTCCGCTGCCGGAATCCACATCTCCTCTTGCATGTCCAGTAGCCATCACCAGTGATGTGTCCACAAGCACGCCCCTGAGCTTTCCTCCCATGTCTTCACTATCTCAGCTGAAGGCAACCCCATTCTTCCACTGCCCAAGCCAGAGACATCAGGGTCATCCTGGACCCCATTCTTCCTCTCATACCCCACCTCCAATCCTTCAGGAGATCCCCAGATTCCAACCACTTCTCTCCGTGCTCCTGACCAACTACCACCTCTCGCCCAATGCTTGCAGAATCCCCCACTGGATCCCCCTGTTTCTGTTCTTGCTGCCCTTCGTCTCCTTTCAACACGGTAGCCAGGGGCATCCTGTTAAATTGCAGATGACTGCATATGCCACGCCTCTCCTTGAAGCCTTAGGATGGCTGGCGTCTGTCTCCACCCAGAGTCAACACCTGGGCCTTTTATCCCCAAAACTCTTCTTCCAGCCTCCTTTTACCCCTTGAATACACCCGCACGTCCCCTTCCCCAGCACTTCGCACGGCTGTCCTCTCTAACCGGAATTCTCTTCTCCCAGATATTGACGGGCAAATCTCACTCCCTCGCCGCATTCTGATCTTAACCCGAATGTCACCTTCTCTGTGACGACTTCCTTCCACCCTATTTAAAACCACATTGCCCCCCTCCACTCTCTTACCCCCCTCCTCTCCACTTTCCCTGTATTATTTTCTCTGCAGCACTTTACATCACCTGGTATTTCTCTATATCATAGGTATTAGGGTACATGTTATTTTCACATTTGATCATCTGTGAAATCAAGATGCAGTGTATACTAGATGGCAGGTCATAGTCTAATTGGCAACTATTTTTCTTTCTTAGTGGCACACGAAATAATAATACACCTTATAATCGATGGCATCTTAGACTCTATGAGACACAATACAGAAGGTACTTATTGATTATCTGATTCCCCCAGACTGGAATAGAAGCTCATGAGAGCAGGGATTTTTCTCTGCCTTAAATCCTTCCATATCCACAACACCCAGAACAGTGCCCGGCACACAGAGGCTACTTGGAAAATGGGTGTGTGTTGAATAAACGAATGAACAAATGCATGAATGCCATCAGAGTGCATCCAGTTTACTGAGGTAGATCATTCACGCCTATGAGCCAGCCTAAAATTGACTGTTATCTTGTTGGAATTCATATAGCCTGGAGAACTCTCTACATCACTACCTAGAGATCTTCCTTATTTTTTGTACATAGCTGTGTAATATTCCACCCTATAGATATATTACAGTTTATGCCTCCAGTCCCCTGTTTCTGGAGCTTTGAGTTGTTTTCCTTGACATCAGTCCTGGTCATGATGTTTTCTGACCCTGACACCAAAAGCAAAAATCAACAAGTGGACCTACCTCAGACAAAAGCTTCTGCACAGCCAAGGAAATCAGCAACAAAATGAAAAGGCAACCTACTGAATGGGAGAAAATATTTGCAAATCATGTATCTGATAAATATCTAAAGAACCCGTACAACTCAATGAAAGAATAAGTTAGTGAACAAGTGAGTTATTGGAAAATGATCAGCACCTAGCCATTTCTTCCTCCCAGGAAGCTTCTGTCTCACCTGGAGTGGTGTTTTGCATACTGCCCCCAGAATACCTTGTCACCCCCTGGTTGTGCTTTTTTTCCCATTCTCCACAGGGAGGCGCCCAGATCAGCCTGGCTGAGGTCTGCCGGTCCGGGGAGCGGTCGACTCGCTGGTACAACCTCCTGAGCTACAAATACTTGAAGAAACAGAGCAGGGAGCCCAGACCAGTGGGAGCCATGGCCCCCATGCCAGGACCTGAAAGCACGGTGAGCTGGGCCACAGCTTTGCACCCTTCTCCTGCACATGCTGCCCCTGGCTGGATGGAAGGAAAAGCCTCTCCCTGAATTGGAGATGGCTGGACATCAGAGGTGGAGTAATTATCAGAAGAAACTGAGCCTGGGAGACATTAAATAATTTCCTCAAGTCACACAGGCTTCCTCACCATAGACACCATTCAGTATGAAGACTCTTCCTCTAGGAAGCCTTCCCTGAATACAGCCCCCAAGCTAGCTTTGCCACCATGCCTCTGTTCTCAAACATCCAGTAATTATCTCTCTCATAGTCCTTCCCAGATTGTTTTGTTACTGATGGTTTATGGGATGGTCTCCCTGACTACACCATGCTCTCCTTACAGCCGGAGACCTATAATTCCGTCTCACCCAAACGCTAAACTTGGCTATCTTCCAGACTCCGTCTATACATGCAGAGGTTATTCTCCAGAGAACTGCCAGTTAGGAGAACTGAGGACTGTATTTCCAATTTATGTGACTCTACAGCAAGACGCTTACCCACTCTGGTCTTGTTTTACCCTCCGTTCACTGGGAGGGTGACACACTCTGATTCCTGCCGGGTGGGGCTATGCCCATGGTGTACAGATGGACCCATCAGCCTTTGTCTCTGCAGGATGCCGTGTCTGCTTTGCTGGAACAGACAGCCGTGGAGCTGGAGAAGAGGCAGGAGGGAAGGAGCAGCGCACAGACCCTGGAAGACAGCTGGTAAGTGAGGGTGTCCCTGGGAACTGACCTGGCTTGGACCTGGGCCCAAGGATGAGATCCCCAAATACCAGGGCAACCAACAGAAGTGTTCCTCTGTGGAAACGGAGAACCTCTCTCCCCATGGGTTCTCTATAGGCAAAAAGGCAGTATATAGTCTGGTACAGAAGTTCCCAAAATCCCTTCCCAGTTTGTCATTTTGTGTTCCAGGAATTACTCATGCTAGTTCACATCTAATATTAGTGTTTGTCTTGATGAACTTACATTTATTCTGGTTAAAAAAAAAATTCTTAGGAAGCTTTATATTACTAGAAGTGGAAATAAGTATAATTTGTCATAAATTGAAGATTCCTCAGTAAGGAATTGCAGTTCACTGCTAGAAACAGAGAGCAGAAATAATGGGCTTAAACAAGGTAGAAGTTTACTTCTTTGTTGCTTAAAAAGAAGACTGGAAAAAGGCATTCCAGGGCATGTCTGTCAGCCCCACGAGGTTAATGGGAACCCAGGCCCTTTCTCTCATTCCACTTTGCTGGCCTTATGTGTGACCTCCATCATCAAGGCTGCTAAGCGCAGAATGGCTGTGGAGTCACCAGCCATCAGGCAGGCATCCGGAAAGAGGAAAGACAACAGAGTCTTCCTGCGTGCCTTGTAACCAAGGAGCATTCCTGAAAGTCCCACCCAGCAATTTCTACTTGCTTCTCATTGGCCAGGCTTAGCTACTTGGCCTACCTAACTGCAAGGGAGACTGGGAAATGAGGTCTCTTAGTTGGCACAATATTCAGGATTCTGTTACTAAGGAAGAAAGTAGGAATGGATATTGAGTAGGCCGTGAGCCAAGTCTGCCTCAGAAGGTAACTGTGGAAGATTAAGTGTAATGAAAATACAACAAGAGTATTCAAGTGTAGCTGGGTATATTGCTTGCCAAGGTTCTGAGACTAAGGCCTCCTCTCCCGTTGTTAAAAAGGAAGGTCAGGGCTTCCCTGGTGGCGCAGTGGTTGAGGGTCCGCCTGCCGACGCGGGGGACACGGGTTCGTGCCCCGGTCCAGGAGGATCCCACGTGCCGCGGAGCGGCCGGGCCCGTGAGCCATGGCCGCTGAGCCTGCGCGTCCGGAGCCTGTGCTCCACAACGGGAGAGGCCACAGCAGTGAGAGTAGGGACTGCTACAGTTCCCCTCGACAGTTGCCCTGGGCCACCACAGTGTGTCTCTGTGCTCTATATTCTGTTATAGACATTTGGCAGTAACGTATCTCTCTCAGGCTGAGGAAGATGTGGATGATAGATACAGTCAGTTCTTCTATAGTGTGACGTGTGTTCTTGAAATTACAGCACGATTGCAAAGTCGTGTAATAAGAACCGGCCAGGCTTTTGGGGAAAATGGGTGAAGAGTATGGCACTTAAAGTATTAAAAAACGTTTGGGCGGACACCGTAAAAAAAAAAAAAAAAAAAAAAAAAAAGGAAGGTCAGTCAGTGTTCAGCAACGTTAAAGACATGCTACTGCCCAAGAGAGACTTCCTCCTTGATGTAAACAGGTCTGAAGGAGGAGTGAACAGGACACAGCTTTCTCACTGTGTGATCAGTGTTCTTTAGTCCCTTGTTTACCCACAGAAGGGTCTTATGACACACTTTAGGAAACAGTGATGTAGACTAGGGCTCAAATCCTAGCTTCATCATTTTCTGTGTAACCTTAGGCAAAGCATTGTTTTTGTTTGTTTGTTTGTTTGTTTTGCGGTACGAGGGCCTCTCACTGTTGTGGCCTCTCCCGTTGCGGAGCACAGGCTCCGGACGCGCAGGCTCAGCGGCCACGGCTCACGGGCCCAGCCGCTCCGCGTCATGTGGGATCCTCCCGGACCGGGGCACGAACCCGCGTCCCCCGCATCGGCAGGCGGACTCTCAACCACTGCGCCACCAGGGAAGCCCCGGCAAAGCGTTTTTAATCTTCGTATTGCAACATAATGTACATACAGAAAGGTTGACTTAAGTGTACAGCTCAGTGAATTTTCGGAAACACAACTACCCGTGAATCCAGTGCCCAAATCGAGAAGCAGAGCGTCACCGGCTCTCCGGAAGCCCACACGTGCTTCCTCCCAGTCCCTGCCCTCCCCCTCAAGAGCACCCACTCTTAGGCAAGTCGTTCTGACCTTGTCTGATCCTCAGCTGAAAAGTGGGGATATCACGCCGACTGTGTGGGGTTATCAGAAGGCACTGAAGGAAGAGCCACTGATGAAGTGAAAGCGCAAAGCTCGTAGTAGGCACGCAAGAAACAGCAGAGATCCTTAGCAGTAAAGCGACGAGCAGCACGGGTAACTACCAGCTGGAAATGAGCACAGCCTAGGAACCTTGCCATCTGGAGGAAGTGTGTGTAGTTGTACTTAAGTGCATGTGCTCTGAATCCAGACAGATGTGAATTTGGAGTCTCACTCATCCAACTCCCTGTGGTAGATTCTAGGGCTGGGTGAGGCCTGAGCATCAGTAAGTTTAAAAACTTCCTGGGTAATTCTTAGCTGAAGCCTGGGCTGAGAACCAGGCTCTAACCCTGGTTTCCCTCTCTGTGAAATATAGATTTAAGAAATAGCCACTACACATGGGGAATTTTGTAGACCCAAAAAATTCCGCATGCTGAGCACTTAACACAGACCCTTACTCACAGGAAGCGCTCAGTGACTCTTCTGTTACAGCCCTAGATTACATGTTTGGTCTCACACGAAGTCTTTCCTTAGTATCTTTTACCCCGGGGGTGAGCAGGTGTTTTCTGGAAAGGGCCAGATAGAAAATGTCTGCTTCGTGGGCCGTACAGACTCTGTTATATCCACTCAACTCTGCCATCGTAGTGTGAAAGCAGCCATAGACGGTACCTACACCGACCACCGTGATTCTGTCATTGAAGCTTCATTTACAGACACTGAAATTTGAATTTCACATCATTTGCACACACCATGAAATCTCACTCTCTTTTTGATTTTTTTTTCAGCCATTTAAAAATATAAAAAACATTCATAGCTTGGACCTTGCACTGTCCAAAAACAGGCAGTGGGCTGAATTTGGCCCACAGGCTGGCGCCTCTCCTCTCTTCCTCCATGGGGTAAAGAATAGGACAAGGTTCCTGAATTTTTGTATGTTCGTACATTTTAGGATTCTCTCTAAATGGTCTCAGTTTCTCTCTTTCCTTCTCTGTCCCACTCCATCTGTGTCTCCCCGCCTCCTTCCCCTTCCCTCCCTCCCCACCTCCTTCTCTCTCCCCC